TGTCGAGAGAAGTATTGTGCTAACTCTGGGCTGTATAGAGGGTTGAGGAAGCGACCATTGAAGTCTGGCACTATAGGGATCTTTATACGGAGATCAGGTATAACCAACATATAGCCAGTTCTATAATGTCTATTGTTAATCGTTACATTTAGATCATTTCTATTTACCGAATTATTTTTATCACTGTCGGTAATGTCTGTTGATATTTCCACAATTTGAAGAAGAATATCTCCATTTACTGTATAGTGCCATTCTCTGTTTGATACCTCATTGCCAGAGACCCAATTCTCATCAACCAACTCATCATCAATATCATCTGCTTCTATCTGAAGCTCATTTGTTGGTACGTTACTAATGTTTATGTTGAACCTTTTTGTTAGAAGGGATGCCATTGTGTTGAGATCAATGATATTATTGACCAGACTGAGGTATTGTTGATTTAATAGCCAATTCCAACATTTTGTCTCCTTATCTGTCTCTGAAAATGTAGTCCTGGCTTGCACACGGCACCAAATTTTCATTGCTGCATTGAGAATATTTTTCTTATCAATACTTCGCTGGCAATGAAAATTTCCTGATCTCACATGCCCTCAAACAGCCCTGATGCAATGTCCATAACACCATGAAACAACTACCTTTTGAGGATCTGGTTCATCTCCACTAATCACATTCTTTGTCAATCTATCCATGTACTCATTAGGCGTTTCTCTATTATACTCCAACAATACAGCTCGCAGAATACCCCATGCACAGTCTGATTGCACAAGGTATGGTACAATGTTTGAACCAAATAACTTATACTCATTTTGGCGGAAATTCTGCAAGCAAAATGCAAGATGTTGTGCTGAAAGATCTGTTACTACAAATTCTACAGCAAGGACAGGCGGAGCATCAGCCTCTTTTTTTGAATCGCCTGAGGGGAGTGTGAGGATTGCATTAAGAACTGGGTGAGGCTTATCATCAGTGGCAATTGGTTTTTCTCTGAGGAGTTTGTAAATGTCCTTTATCATCAGACCTGTGTAGTCCAAGAAGACTCCCGGATTGGATGCTGCATAATAATGGTAATAACTTAGGGACGCCTCATTGTATAGATGGACTGATAAGGGATCTGCCATCACTGGCATTTGTATGTATCCACGTAACTTTCTGTTTTTCTCAGCTTCTTCACCATTATCCTCAGCATATTTTAGTTTTTCATTCTCGTTAATAATGCTAATACTTGAATGAAACCGCTCTCCTATTGTATAGTCGTTCCTGTTATTATTACCTGTTTGTTTTAGCTTACGCGCAGCCTGCGGTGTTGGTACGTCTTGGCGGTTTCCTGTTAGCCTTTGTTGTGTTGGAATAGCTTCTAACCTTTCAGCTCGTAACTGACGTGGTAGTGCATCTTTTTCTCTTAATAGTGCTGCTGAAAGACCACGCGTTTGCCCATAATAGACCCCCGCGTGATGTATGCAGCAACGCCGATTCTCAAGGAAATGTATTTGTAAGTGGATTGTCTCTGCATGTTTTTTCAATTCCTGTTTTTCGATGCGGAATACACCAGCAGTTGAAGTTTGTTTATCCACACACCCACTGCAGTGGAAGTATTTCTTCAAACTATTTTCTAATTCTCGCGTTCTGTCAATACTGATAGCAATTTGTGGAAAGAGGCCCTTGCAACGGATAATTTGACGTAACCAGTAATGGGAAGTATACGAGTCTTGCCAGTAATGATCTGTTGTGATAAGATTTGCTGCTTCTTCTTGTTCCAATGCAATTATTGTGTCATCTAATGATTTATATCTAATCTTCTCTCCAGCTTCTATCTTAACTTCTAACTCTTTTACAGGAGCCAAGCCTGCCATTAATGTCCCGACATAAGTACTTTTATTTGGTCTATC